GTGATCCACGTAAAATTGTGCTTGTACATTATTTTGTTGGGCTTGCAATGAGTTCAATTCAAAACAAAGAAGGTGACCTCAATGGTTTCCTAATAATGGTCAGATATTTTGTTTATCCTTGGGCACAAAGGAAACTCCCCACTCATTGTACTAGCCACCTTTTATATTTCCTGTGTGTGTGTGTGTGTGTGTGTGTGTGTGTGTGTGTGTGTGTGTGTGTGTGTGTGCAAGCATGCACGTTCAATGTGTACATTTCAAGCACATGAATATGTGTGTGTAGGCCAGAGGTTGGCACTAAATGTCTTCTTCAGTTGCTCCCCAGTGAACTTTTTGGAGACAAGTCATTCATTGAACTTGGAGCTCAATAATTGTCTACAATGACTGGATAGGGAATTCCTAGATGTGTCTGTCTGTCTCTACCCCTGCAGTGGTGGCAGTGGTGGGATTACTGGTGCATACTACAGCATTGGGCTTTTTTTTTTTTATGTGGGTGCTGGAAAATGAACTCAGGTCCTCATGCTTGCACACCAAGCACTTCACTTATTGAGCCGTCTCCCCCGCTCCTACACTCACTTTCTTTGTTTTTAATGGCTTTTTTATTTTTTAAACAACCTTTTTTTATTTTATGTACCAATCCAAGTTCCTCCTCTCTTCCCTCCTCCTGCTTCCCTCCGCTTTCCCCCCACCCTACTCCCCATTCACTCCTCAGGGAGCGTGAGGCATCCCATGGGGAGTCAACAAAGTCTGTCACATCATTTAGGGCAGGACTTGGGCCTGCACCCATGCATCAAGGCTGAGCAAGGTATCCCGCCATAGGGAATGGGCTCTAAAAAGCCAGTTCATGCGCTAGGGATAAATCCTGCCTCCACTACCAGTGGCCCCATAGACTGCCCAAGCCACACAACTGTCACCCGCCTTCAGAGGGCCCAGTTCTGCCCTATGTAGATTCCCCAGTTGTCAGTCTGGAGCCCGTGAGCTCCTACTAGCTCAGGTCAGCTGTTTCTGTTGGTTTCCCCATCGTGGTATACTCACTTTCTTAAGCATTCCACTTAAAATCTCTCCTTTTAGCCCAGAATCAGTATTAATGGCAATGTTTCCAAGCATTTGAGAAGGTATTTTAAGGAGGTCTGAAGGCAGAGATGATTTTAGAGTTGCTTTTTCCTCGCAATACTACTTCCTAATACAAATCTGTATCAGGTTAAATTTCCAGAAACCAGTGGAGAATGATTGTTTTGGTGTAGCTTTTCAAACCATAGTGGCATTTTTCTGGCCTGTGACAATAAAGCTGTCAGCTTGGTTTTTAGCATGTGTGCCTCCACCTTCGGTTGGGAGCTGCTGTCTAAGAAAATCAATTTTCAAGTCCAGAGAGCTGCTGGTAATATTCCAGATGTCTCTTCCACCTGCATGCATTTTGCTCAGTTCCTTCCTGCCTTTCCTGATGGGGCAGGCCCCACAGTTTCAGTGACTTTATATAAGTGTAAAATGACAGCTAGAGAAAGCTTAGAAAATGAAACAAACAAAGGGATCACTTAAAATCGCCATCATTTTAATGACAGCCTTACCTAGGATGAGTAAAAAAAAAAAGTCTACAGGGCAATTAGAAGTGAATTTGATTTTATTTCTTTCTTTCTCATGCTGGAAGATCTAGAGGGCTGGCCCTAGGCTGTTTTTTGTGTTGACTAGGTGGTCTCTGAGGTTTTAGTATGGTGTAAAAGGGAAAGAAATGAGCTCATGTTATGTGTTTTAATGCTTCATATGGTCTTGTTTTGTTGTCTAAAATCCAGAAGGCATGCTCTCCAGTTTTTTTTAATGTTTGGGCTGTTCCTAAAATTTTCTTTGAGGTAACTAGGAGCTGAAGGTGAGGGGCTATGACTATTGCCATCAAGATCTTGTTCTCGAAGGTTGGCTATTGTGCTCCATTGAGAGCAGGTGGGATGTTCTGCACTGGAGGGTGGGGTAGAGAGTGTAGTGAGGAGAAATGGCTTGGAGATGAGTAGGCTGGGTTCATGTACTGTACTAATAATTCTCTTTGGTAAATTCTCCGAACATTTCAGTATAAACTTGGCCTCACTCGTATAACACCAACCTTTTTGTGCTTTTCTGTCCCACCCTACGAATCCTGATGCTGTCACTAGTGACCACTAGTGACCATTGGGGGGAAAAGAAAAAGTGTCATTCAGGAGATCAGAAATGATTTACACTTTGCTACATCTGCCTGCTTCGAATCAGATTTTCAAAACAGCTTCATTTCCCTGGGAATTACTCATTGGTTGCAAAGGTCACAGGAGTTTGTGAACCTAAGAATCCAGAAAGCAATTAGAATGGGACAGTAGCTTTGTTCAGCACTGAATGTTGATTCAAATCGGCTACAGTAATGTGATCCTCTTTAATGAAACCATCATCTCATGGATCAGTAGATACAGGCTCAAAGTACATGGAGGATGAGGCCTGGGCACACTGATTATATGGCCACAATTTCCAGCCTGCCTGCTAACAAATCTTCTCAACAATGCTCTTTTGCCTACAGTATGGATGAATGGATTTTGAAAGCTTAATGGGAATTGATGTCATGTATTGATTACCATTTAACACATATCTCCCTAACCTTTTATCCTTGTCAAAGGAAAAATGTTTTCTTGTAGAACAAGTACTTCTTATCAGAGGGTCCAAGTTTGGCTTTTGATATCCTAAATGGTCAATTAATTCATATAGCAACTAGCTATCTATTGGGATGGTGAACATAAGCTCTGTTGAAGGTTGATACCAAACCAAATTTCCATGGAGCTGATTATGTGTTTCGTACTCAACAGATGGAAATCCCTGGCTTCCAGCCCTGACACATGTGAGTGATTTCATGGAGGTAAGGGACTGTTTCTAAAAAAGCTCCTGGGACTTCCATAAAAGGGAGAGTCAAGGCCAGATCAGTTTCAAAGGGTCTTAGCATCATTTTGATGCTTCTTCATTAGTTGGGCATAATGATCTACTTTGTCAACAGGTGGTAAAAGAGAGACGTGGGTCTCCTGAGGCACTGAGAATTCTTGTAAGGGTTCCAGAACTATCCTCCTATCCTTCAGGGAGCAAAAGCAGGTTTTAGTTAATTGCTATAATGTTAACCACCACCCCCCAGTTTTCCATGAAATCATATGACAATGCACATAGAAATATATTGCTTACTGATTTATTAAAACAAATCAGCTTTATTCTAAACCTGTGAGGAAAAGCTAGTAATTACACCTGCCATACAGTAAGTCATTTATTGGTTGGAGATAGTGACAAATGTTTTCCTGTCTATACTAAAGTGGCATTTGGATCATGGTTACAACCACTTACAGTGGTTTAGTAGAGGACAGGGGCAGTATTGACTCATTTTCTAATTTAAACCAAGCCCCTTTTTCTTTCTGGTGCAACTAAAACTTCGAGATCTTAACAATGGCAGTGCATGTTACATAGCTTTGCTATCTTTCGCTCATGAATAACTTGCTCTTTCCTCAATAAGAAGTGGCCTTCAGGGTGCAGAGGAAATAAATCTATTCAAGAAATGAAAACAATTATAAAGTGCCCTGAAAACAGCATTATCATCATGTATATACTTGAAACACCTATAATGCATTTCAACAGAAATCCAAGTCTAAAATAGAATATATAATTTCTCCTAGTCTATCACTTGTCAGAACCATACAGTTAATTATCTAACTTGTGTGAACCACTGAGACAAAAAAACCACTGCTTTTATAAAAGCTAGAAAGAAGAGGTATTATTTAGTTCAAAACCCTAATTACTTAAGTAAGAGGACAAAAGACTACAGAAGTTAAGTGACTTGCCCAAGGACAAATACTCACTTCATAACAGGGTTGAGATTCAAACCTAGGAGTTCAAATTCAGTGCTCTTAACATGTCACCTGCTAGTTCTCCCATGAGTCTTAGTTCTAATGGACAATGGATCTGGTTAAAACCAAGCAGAGCAGTATTTAAGACACTGTCCTTTGATAAAATTTCCCCTTTCCTACAAGCCTCACTTAAAAGCACTGCAGAATTGTCTTTGTGAAACTAAAATGAAAACCAGCAGGCTGAATTAACGGCAAAGTACTTACTCTGAAAAATTCTTTTGTTGAACCAGAGTCCAGGGTCCCATATGCAATTTCAGTCTGCTTGGCTAAATCTTCAGCACTCTCAATGGGGGACACCATCCTCTCTACAGTCAGGAAAGCAGCAAGGTTTGCAGTGTAGGAAGAAATTATGATCAGGGTGAAGAACCACCAAACTCCTCCAACAATGCGCCCAGAAAGTGACCTATAAAACAAAACAGAAACAAGTCCAGACCCAGAGGGCCCGGATCTCAATTTTAAAAAGTCATTGTCTTTATGTATAGAAAGAAGAGTGATTTTATTATAGGCAATGGAGGAGGGAAGTTGATGACACATGCAATCAAAACATCAGATAAAAGTCACATGTTGACAATACCATGTCATGATGGCATATGATGATGATGACATGTGCAAAAACTCTTTGGGCCTCTCCAAGTTTTCTCTAGTTTGGATCTCCAATGTCTCCGCAAACAGTCATATGCTGAAAGTTTGGCTGTTCATCTGTCTGTTGTGCTATCAGATCTTTTAAGAGGTGGGACTTAGCTGGAGAAAGTTAGGTCACAGGATATGGTGACCTTGAAT